TTTTTTTTTTTTTTTTTTTTTTTTTTTTTTGACCTCAGATGTCAAACTCAGGTCCTTGTGCTTGTGAGGCAGACAGCGGAACCGCTGAACCAAATCCCCGGCCCTGGCGGGGGATGATAGTTCATTGCAGTTTTCACTTGAATGTCCTTGATATTTACTGAGGTTTTATTTAGCTTCTTTTCATATGTTTACTGGCCATTTATAAATTTTGTTTTGAGATGTTTATTCAGATCGTTTGCACGTTTTTTTGTTGTTGAATTGCTTGAGAAACATATTCTGGGTCTTGATCCTTTGTCAAATGGACAGTATGCTTATATTTTCTTTCATTCTGTAGGTTGTATCTTCACTCTGTTGATTGTTTCCTTTGCTGTGCAGAAACTTTTTAGCTCAGTCTTATCCTGTCTGTTTTGTTTTGTTGCCTCTGGAATTGAGGTCCTAGCTTTTGTGAACAGATATAGGCCTTATTAATTTTAAATTATCAGATGGATGATAGTCATTTAAAATATCATAATAAAAGAAAACAATGACATCCACAAAATCACATAATATTCAATATGTATTTTACTGCATTTGGCCCATTTGGGTCTCAGGAATCAGACCTTACTGGATAATTTTATAAATTAGCTGAAATCCACCAAGTTAGTGACAAGAAAATGAATGAAAGAATCAGAGCCATTAGAGTGTAGAGTCCTCTTAGTGTTTTAAAAGGAAGCAGCTATTGCCGAAGCTATCCTGTAGTGATAAGTGAATATAGGAGTTGACTTTAATTCTGCCTCTGTCTTGAGTGGAAGGCAGTTAGGATCTAGAATGAGAGATTATCTCAGGCAAGGAGTTTTAAATTGGGACTTGACTGGTTCTTTGGGTAGATGTTTAGAATTACCAGGAATACGCAGGCAAACACGCTCACTAAGGAAAAATGATCCCAGAACCTTGGGAAGGGGCTGCACTGAAAAGTCAGAGCTGGAAGATCCTAAGAGCACCCTTCCTGAACCCCTCCTTTTGACACCAAGGAGCCAAGAGCTGAAGGAACTAAGTGCCCCCTACCAAGGGCCATCGCTTACCAAGGTAGCCAGATGGCTTAAGTGAGGGCTAGAACCTGAGTGTAGTAACTGTCTTAGCCTGTTTCTGTAGCTATAACAACATGCCCTAGACCTGGTAAATTATAAAGAACAGAATTGATTTCTTACACTTCTGGAGGTGGAGGTGCCTGTAGTGTCATTGTCCAAGGAGGGCACCATTTCCACGCTGGTGCCCAAATGCTGTGTCCTTACATGGTAGGAGGAGGAAATGCAAAAAAGGACAAAATAGCACTATTTTTTGTGGCTCTTTCACAAAGGCGCTAACCCCCTCCAAGAGGGCCAAGCCTAGTCACCAACCAGACATTCCACCTCTTACTGCCATTGTGTTGGTGATTAAGTTTCAACATGAAGCTTGGAAGGAACTCAGACATTCAAACCATGTATGAAAATGACCCATCATCGTTCTAAACAGGTTGGCAAGTTAAGAAACAATTTTTTAATTTCTAAGCTCGTTGTTTTATCTTTTAAATACTGGCTTTCTGCAGGGAGGTGGCAC